GTCCATCCACTGAGCCAAACCGGTCAGGGCAATGTAGCATAATTTCTTAAACAAATCACCAAGAGATGGACATTTTGGTTGATTCTTCCAGTTGTTATTCAAAGGGGAAGGATCCGACCTCCCACTCGATTGCCCTGGGCTCTGGCACCAAACTCCAGGTGGTGGTTGTTTAGAAGGTGGGCTTGGCATTGCACTGACTCTGTGGGAGCTGGGAACATTAGACAAAGTGCAGGAGCCCGCCTCCTTGCGGCAGACGTGGCCCCAAGCCTCTTTAGAGGCATTTGGGCTCCTTGAGAGACATTACGGATAACAGCCAAATTGGGAAGCACACCCGTCTCATGCAGAAGGCTGGTCCAGGCTACACAGAGGAGCCCTGGGAGGAGCCCTGGTCATCTGTCACTGAGAGGACAACTGGATAACTCAGGCATAGTTGCCACGCCCACCCTGCAGCATTAGAAACTCAGCAGTAATCTCCATTGGCATGGAGCACAGGAAAAATACGTGTGTTGGAAAGAGTAGTTGAAGCTTCAGATTCCAGCCAAACATGAGGCTTTTCACCAGCAAGGACACTTCCTTCCAATCAGAGGCATGATGTAAGGCCCAGCAGCCTTACTGAAAGCTTGTGTCTCTGCCCTCCCAGTGCTGTGAGTCTTAGAGCAACGTTATCAAAGAGAAGTGTGCCAGTATTGGGTCTGTTTCATCCAGGAGGGGGGTGTGCCATGCGAGGGTGGACCAGGGAGAGGGCAGAGGTCCCCTGTGACATGGATCTGACAGCCCCTGGCTCCAGATAAAAGTTACTCTCTCATCCTTTCCCTATCTCTACTCAACACATATGGCTGCTCAGTCCTGAACCAGGCACTACCAGGATACCCAGAATAAAGCTAGAGAACATCTTGCCATTGTTCAGAGAAAAGACGTGCAGGACGAAGATCGAAAAGCATCTGTCAGCTGGTCAGTTGAGCGCTTCTTCTGAGCCAGGCACTGCTCTGGGCAGAGAGACATGATGCAAGGCCGGGCTCTCGACAAGTTCACATATGGAGAAGAAACGAGATGTGCAAATACAGTGGCATGGCATCTTGTGAGAGGTTAGAGTCTAAACTCATCAGGCAAAAATGCAGTGCAATCACCCCTGCATTTGTTTCCTATTGCTGCCAAACAAATCTTTACACATTTAGTGGCTTCATTACAACACACATTTATTCCTGCACTTTTTTTTTTTAAATATATTTTATTGATTTCAGAGAGGAAGGGAAGAGAGAGATAGAAACGTCAATGATGAGAGAGAATCATTGATTGGCTGCCTCCCACATCCCCCTCCCCC